ACGCGACACTTCGTAAACCATGAATGATAGGGTTCAACCTAGCCTCGTCATGGGCAAATTAGGGAACAAACATTGGCGACGAAACTGGGGCAGTTTGCACGACTTTTTGGCATGTGACATATGATGGCGTAACACTACTGAGTGTGATAGATTGCTATTGACCCACCGGGCCCACCCAAAACTATGCTGGGTTCCATTCCGTTATGAAGAATGCGGGGTCGCGGCACCACGTGGGCCTCGGTCACGTACCTGCAAGTCAGGTGCCGTCGGGCCAGATGACTAGAGATCACGTGACTACAGGTGACGTCTACAATAGCCCGGTCATTGCTGCTTGCACCGAACATTCTTGTTGCCTGTGTATGTGTGAGGGTGGGGGGTGGTCACGGAACTACAAGTCCCGATACTGCAGATGATGCTTTTTCAATCCAGGAAGCTGCAGGTCACACGCATATGCAGGGCGGCTGTGTGTGACCGGGCTGCGGTAACACAAATGCACGCCCGTGTTATCGCGTCTCGGAAAAATGCATTGCATTCTTGGCCAGCGCTGGTCCTCTCGATAAGTTCAGTAAATCACTCCCCTGCCAATTATGGAGGAGGCCGGCTCACCAGCTGCTTTGACTTGGACGCACTGTCAGGGGCATGGGGCTGCTTTCAGGGCACGAGCGGGGCCACGTATTTCATGGCCCGGAAATGCATATGGGCATGTTTTTATTGCACTTCAGGCCGTCCAAAGGAGACATGTTAAGTCATACTTCATAAAACTGCACACGCCTAAGCGTGCCATGTTACGATTTAAGCAGTCCCTCCAATCTGCTATTTTGATAACGTCCGGTATACGATGTTACACTGGACGGTTCGCGTATTCGTGCCAGGTGTGCTCTCCAGGCCAAGTATTGGCGACGATTTCGACTAAGACATGATACTTATTGTTTTCAGCCGCAAATTGTGTCCAGGTGTCTGCTGGCATAGACGTTGCGTTCAGCCATCATTACCTGCACGTGTGACATGTGCGTGGATTCAAACAGAATGAAGCGCTTTTAAATGTGTCCAGGACACCAGCAAAAACAAAAGTCCACACCTGAACAGTGTGATACGCATGTCAAGAGTTTGCATATGCAACTCATCCTTACCTTATGTACCTCCTGCCTACCTACCCAACATCCTCACCTAACTATCCTTGCATCATGTATGCCACTGTGCTGGAGGACCAGATGACAATCGCATTGAACATTGCAGTCAGCATGAGTTAGCATTGCAACAATTTGTGGGCTTCAACGAGCTCAGAAGTTACTGACGACAATTTAAAAAAAAATAATCTTGCAGCGGTAAGGTGGCAGGACTGGAGTCCGGGCCTAAGGACGCTCGCCCGTCACCTGCCGCTGTGATTTCCGGAGCATTCAAGCTCGGTGGCCGTTCATTTGCTTACCTGAAACACTGGCATTGGTCAAGCCTGACTGAAAATCTGCATTTTCTTGGCCTGCGCACGTGTGTGGTGCGACCGCGGGGAAGAAACGCGTGCACAATGACTTGACGGTCCACTGTCCGGTGGCGGCACGAGCGATGTGCACCCATCGACAAACTGCACCGAATGATGACTGCTGATTGGGGCGGGGGGAGTTGAAGTGCTCCGTTTGCCGTGGTCATATGATGTCTACTGTGTGATGTGATACAGTCTAGTCTGCAGCCGCCAGAGGGACATTTCACCCAAGTGCCGTAGTAGCAGTTTAGCTTAGTTTGTAGTTGCTATTTGTAGTTGGGCGCCGTCATGGCACCCTCAGTTCTCGCGAGGTCGACGGCATACAGTTGGGAGGCTCGTCCCTGCAGCGTGCTCTGCGAGGCCGGCCGAGCCTGGCACGACCCGCTCCTCTGTCCCGCACCCCGGAAGGCGACCGGACGCTCTTAGGCGCGCAGACACTAACTGAGGCCTCCTCTCTGCGGGCAGGTCGGCTCGGCTTCGACACAGATAGCGACGGCTTCCCAGTCACCGGCCGCGGTCCGTGGAGGGGCTGGGGAGAGGGAGGGGTCGATGCTGACAGCGTTTGCCGGGGGAGGGCCGACCCTCACGCGAAACGTGCCGCTCGCGGTGGTCGCAAGAGTCCTGAGGAGGATTTCGCGAAAACATGCCCACCCACAGGCCTAGATGTGGAATTGTGGAGGAAGCATAAGACTGCAGGCAGATGGAAGAACTGTAGTGCTGTGTCATGCGTGTCTTTAAGCTGGTCAATGGTCTACTTCTTTTTAATGTTGTGCATGCAGTGTGCGCGCTAAACAATAGGCGGACAAGACATTGCTACAGCAAACACACTGCCATTGTGCAAATTTGTTTTTTTTACAGCACCGAGGCAAATTGTCCTGCAGCCTCTACCGGGCCAAACTATTAATGTATTTATGAGCTTCAGTTTGACAGCGGTGTTGAGTAAGGTAGGGCATCTGGAAGCATACAGAAACCAAAGACAACTGCCATGGCTGCCAAATTTTTGAGTTGTTGCGCCCCATTTAAATGGACCAGTTATAAACAAGCTTTTTGATGCGACATTGTGAGTTGGGCGAAATACGAGCGCCCAAAAGCGCTGCACAAACGTATGCTGCGTTTCTGCGTCGAACCGTTCGTAATGACCATGCATTCAACCACCGCTGTGTTGTGTCTACAATGTGGCTGTGTTTCCTCACATTGACTTCGGTTCATCTTCCGCCATCAGATTCGTGAGCATGGCAGTCCGAGTTCCGTGAAAGTGACCGCATGTTTTCGTTTTCAGACGTGGTTTTTCACGGATCAGGAAGATCCGGAAGCTGCGGCAAAGAACGGGTGAGATGTATGGCTGACAACACTTTGTAAACGTGAGGCATGTGTGAACATGATACAGTTCAACTGATGACTGGGAAATCGCAAAATATCCGGGTTTTTTGCCACACATGCACTGTCCGCATGAAATTCCTTTAAACTGTTTGTGTCTGTTAGAATGAGAAGTCGAACTGTAGTTCTGAACTGTAGGTGTATATAAGCCGATGCTAGTGTTCCGTAGGTCCTCGCGACGCCAGCTGACGTGTGTCGCGACACCAGCTGATGTTAATGCCTGCCGACGTCGCAGCGGAACAGTGATATGTGTGGTGCCCATGATAACCTATATCCGACCTCATAAAATGAAGAAGAACTTTTCTTGCCTGATGCGTTCAGAAACCCACACAAAAAGCGTCAAAGAAATGCGATATTTCACGCGGCATGTCATGTTTGGTGCAAGCGAAATCGAGCGGTTATCTTTCCTTCTAGCGTGAGTTATGAAAAAATATAGTATAAGGGTCCATCCAGAAATCACGGTACGCATTTTTGACTATTTCCAAACCCCCCTCTCCCTGGTCACGAGCCGGTTACGTTGGGGTACCCCCCCCCGCCGGTTACGCTTTGTTAAGGTAACGTTCCCAAAAAGTAACGTCTGTGTGGCTGCAATTCAGCGATAGGTGCAAAACAGATAGCGGGCGAGTTCCATGTCATGTGAGGAAGACAGAACACCCGGCCTTGAGGGTTTTAAGTTGGTTTTCAGACTTTCATCTCTATTTACGCTTTGCAGTCACACTTTAGCGCGACGTTACGCTTTTTCAAAACTTCCGATCCCTCCCTTGTCACGCTTCTGTTACGCTTTATCAATGTTCTCCCTCTTTCCCTCCATGCGTAGCGTAAGCTATCGACGATCCCAAACCAATTGACGGAAGGAAGATAATGAACGCGTTACGTAGGGCTATAATGTATCACCGGCCGACTTCAATGATAATTTTCTGCCGCTTTCGGGAGTGATTCTCTCGCTCTCTACTCAGCTTGCCGGCTTCTGGAGAGCTAATTATTTTCTTAAGCTGAAGATAATTAGCATTTCAGCCCACTCATGAAACACTGCCTTTATCTCCGTATGTCGGCACTATTGTAAACAGATTATTCTCAATGCATTCTTTCCCGCTGCAGCAAACCCTGAGGTTAAATATACATTAGTGGGCCATTGTCCTGCTGTAAAACAGAAGGACCACTAGCACAGGCCGGGAAGAGAGGGCGGGGATTTGTCGAAGGTATAATTTAGCTCCGGGGGTGTTACGCCGACACCCGTAAAGACGCGAGATTCCAACAGCGAGCCACGCTGCGCGCGCAGTAATTGCCCCATGCGTTGCAGGAGGTCAGGTGATCAACACCCACTGTCCGTCGTCACACGACCGAGACGCTCTCTGTTGCAAGATGGCCGCCGAGTACGACGCCTTCATGGCGTCCGGCAAAAAGTAGGTTCAACTGCGTCGTTCCGTGTGCAGAAATGTTAACTGCTGCCCCTACGTTTCTTCTTCCTGCGCCGTAAAGTTTGAAGCGTCCATTCGCATCTGTACGGAAGTGCAGGGTTGTTGGCGATATCAAAGGTCTCAATGAACTCGCGAGTGCTTCCAGCTCGGATGCTAGGTTCCCTGTGGGGATAACGTATCGCATGTGTTTCTGCATGCTGCCATGAAGCACCCACATGCCAGTCGCTTTCGCGATGCAGCTGCAGCTGCTCCTCTTTGTCCCACGGCTCCCTAATGAGGAGGGAGTCAAGTCTGACTCATCCGTGGCGAACTCCTACCCCTACAGTGATTTTGAGCGCAGCAACCACGGGCTATACTTTTCATCATGGCGACAAGCTAGGCAGGGACTTGAAGTCACATGACTATTCGTGTGCGACTGCGGCTTTTCATTGTTTGCTATTGTTTGCTTGTCTGAGTCGGCAGTCTCCGTTCCGAAATTAATTTGCCCGGGCTGACTTCTGGCTACACGCTTCGAGGAGGGAACCGTACTGTTTCTGGTCATTCTAACCGGTTGATTAAATCCAGCTAGTCAACTGATGTCGCCTAACATAAATACGCACGGCTATAGTGCATGACGAGCCGTTGTTCGCTGGGCTCCGACGTGAAGAGAGCGGACGGCGGCCAGCTGTTTTTCCGACCTCCACCCGCGACTGGCCGAAATTAGGTGAGCAGGTGCCATCGTGGCGGCCTCGGCGTTTTTGTTGACCGGCGGTTTTTGCGCCGGACAGTGCGGGAAGCGGTACGGTCTCCGCGGCAATCACAGCGTGGTGCTCCTCGCCCGCCATCGCAAAAGGGTGACGCACTAATGACGGGAGGTCCTCGGGATAGGAGACCTCCGCGCTTTTGTCCCCGTCTTTCTGGCTGGCTGGCTGGCTGGTCGTCCCTCCGTCCGTCCGTCCCCTGCCTGTCCAGTTATTGCCAATCGTCGTCTGTTTTGTTAAGTTAGTGTTTGTCCGCCTCCCTATCTGTCTGTCTGCTGTCTGTACGTGCGTATGTATGTAATGTGTATGCAGCACGCGGCTGCCGATTCCATTCTACGGTATTTAATGACACGAGATTTAAGTGAATGAGCCCACTCCTCACCAGTGTAGCGCGCAAGAGTCGATGCGTGCCCGCCTTGCATGCACATTCACTGATCTGTGTTCTTCGCCCGTTCGGTACTGCCATACGAGGTTCGGCTATGTCCGGGACCGCGAAAACCCATGCCTTGATGTGATGACCGGATGATCATCAAAGTGCGCAACAGCCACGTCTTGGCACTCATGCTATGTCCACACATGTCCCGACAGTCAGCCTGGTAATGGTGTCTTCTTCCCGTGCGTACTTGAGACTGGGTGGTCAGCTGAAGTAATTGGCTCATCCTAAAGGGGGGCTGCAATTGTATTTTTCATAAGACCCCGTAACTGATGCTCCCATAAAGGAGTATTTAAATTGAAATCAGTCCAAGCACCTGAAGTATTACAGCTTTGGTGACTAATCCGCGATCTTATGAACGACTAATCGACTCGACCTTTAACACTAGGAACGGACAAGCGTTATGCACTAAAGCGCCGTCCTAGTTAAAGCACCCCCAGTGTTCGCTACCCATCATGGCTGCTTACGGCCGAAACTTCGCAGGATTTCCATGTTACCAAAAAAGAAACCCATGGTGAAAAGGAAGTAACGATGTAGATCGGGAGGGTGCCTACCATATGCCAGGATATTTAAGACAAATACTTGGATGGACACAATCCTTTCAACGACGAGTGCCAAGTTACGGTCCCAAACTGAGGTGGACGACAGAGCGCAGCTAAGTTGGAGATATTCGCTCGGACCACATGACAGATATCTGGGCATTTGTCATTGACCATGAGAGGCTATAACACCTTATTTCCGATAGGCTGCTTCAAGGAATGGGGCTCAGCCGATACCTGAGGAATGTCATTTTTGCTCTGCGGTATAAAGTATGAACGGTGTCAGCCGTGAGCGGTACCGAACCGTCGCCGCTGCGCACATGCGTCTGCGTCGGGACGTTTAGAGTGACAGGTTGGGGACGGCAGATTTGTGGCCGCCACCATGCTTGAAGTGGGGCAGCACTGTTTACAGCTCTGACTATCCTTGTGTTAAGCGTAGCTAGTATGTTTAGATCACCTAAATGAAGCGCACATTTTAACACCGAACTACCTAAATTGAACACAAAAGTGTGCAAATGTGTGGGTAACTATAATAATTATGCAAGCTTTGTTGGGTATTAAGTTGAAACTATGAAGAACTATTCATTAAGCTCAGTTTGGTTACATTAGCAACTCACACACATAGGTGTAGGTCTTAACATATATTGGAAATGCATGTTGTAGATTGGAATAGTATCATAGGTGCAACGCTCAACACTGGGCGATGTTTGCCGACAAGCAGTGATTGTGGGTAACGTGCCTAGATCCATGAACCAACGCAACGGCTGCCGGCCACGCTAGCCAGCGTATTGAGAGCACACGAACGGTCGGGCGCCGGACGCGGCCTCACCCAGCCCGCTCTGGCCAGGCGGCTCCACCGGCTGAACGCGTTCATGGCCGATGTGTTCGCTGAGCGGCCGCGGCCTGCGCACTCGCCGCTCAGCGCCGCTCGCAGGTGGCGTGCTTTTCTGGAGCCGCCCCAACCACGGGCCGCCGAGCGTCCCCCCCCCCCCCCCCCCACCAGGCCGACCAAGCGTCCCCCCTTCCCTCTCATCTGGGCACGACATCCGCTCAGCTGATCTGAACAGACTCTGCCAGTGCAGGCATCATGGCGCTGCTGGCAGCGGAGGGGGTTGAACGTTTTTAAGGCGGTGAGTTGTGGTTAGCGGTGTTTTAATGGTTAATTTACTGTGAGCACTGGCAACGGTGTTTATCGCATTATTTGGTGTCATATGCGACACAAAGCGGTTCATTAAGAGTACATCACTTTGGTGCCCTATGTTTTGACCGCCGATACGCCTTGGTATGATGTGCAATCGTGGGCACTAAACGATTAGGTATGCCTATAGGCAGACCAGTGGCTTGATCGAGGGGCGGATCCAGGATCCCATGGTGCCCCATGTTTAGACACCTCTTAAATCGGACCCTGCGATCTTTTTGGGCTCCAGGCTGATGTCCGCTTGCAGGCACGCGTATGAGATGATCAGTAATCATCAGACACGTAGCAATGGGACACACGTTGCGTTGCGTTGGAGACGCCGGCCGGCAGTGGACGTGGTGAAAGGTCTGTCTCCCTTCTGGTGCATTCGTATGCATTACACTTACAGTGGTCCTCACTAATCCTTCATCGGTGACAGCGATTAGTGGCTCTCAAGCTGCGAGGTGTTCTGACCGAGGATTTTTGACGAGCGACGTTCACAAAAGCTCAGTCACGTGACATCGTGTGACCCGTCTGTGCAGTCGCAGACTCGTCTCGAGTCTAGACATCCTCGCGGAGTCCCATTTCTGAATGTCCTCGCGGATTCCTAGACTCACGGATGGACCCGCCAGATGACGTGACCGCGCGGTTTTTTATAGTTATTGAGGTTGAACCAGTGCTTTGAAGAATGCGCGGTGACTCTTGGTCGCAAGGCTCTTTAGCAGCGAAATTTGTCCGTGTAATTTCTCAAATGTTTTTCATTCTATGGATGGGTTACGATGCGGCAGCAAGCACGTTTGGAACCGAAGAGTGCACTTGGCTGAGGTTAGGGACCACGAAATCCTTGCGCGACAAACCTTCCAACCGGAACAGGCCTCCCAGTTTCGCAGGCACTTACTTTAACAGGTCCGTGATGTTGCAAGGCTCTGCATACACATCAGTTTTCGATGCATGAGGCAGATATCACATTAAGCTCGGAAGCACATCTTGTTTATGTCTCCCGCAGAAAGTATTTACGATTCAAAATCCGATTAGGCCCGCTTAAACTTACATGCGTGGGGCTCCCCTGCTCCTAGTCGGGACAAAATCCGCTCCGAATAGGCCTCCGCCTCAGATGCTTCGGAGCCGTTTCCTGACGATTCAGATGGGTCATAGCCGTTCGCTGGCGCTTCAGATGGTTCTGCCACTTCGACGACGACAACTACGTCAACACGGACCAGCTGGCGCGCCTGCTGGGCGAATACGACGCCCGCCACGACTGGTACCTGGGTAGAAACTCGGTCCACGTGCTGCTGCAGATCATGGACGACGACCGGCGAGGGGTACGTCTGTACCGGAATAGTACGTCTGGGCCCGCACCGACCGGAACGAGGTCGAAAACGTCCTGATCGGTCAACCCTTGACGTGGCGGGATGTGAACGCACGCATGCCCCATTTGGTGGGGATGGCGCTTGCTTTGGACGCACTTACAGGTCTTTCGGTTGCGTAGAACATGACGACCGAACCGTAACTGGCCACCACGTTCGCGAGCAGGAGAGAGCGACCACTCCCAGTCTTGGTTCGTCTCGGGGCCCGGGCCATTTGGTCCTACGGCCGCAGCCATCGGCCCGCTCCCCGGCGCCGTGACCACTCTCCGGTGAGACGGTCACGGAGAGCCGGCAGCCGTGAGACGCCCTCCCGCGCCAGTCACGTGACCGGAAATCCCGGGTCCGAGAGCCTATCAGCCGGCTGAGGCCTCGCTGCGTCAGCGGGGGCAGGACAGCGAGGGTTCCGTTCGCAGTCTCTGGCGGGGACGCATGTGACCAGCGACACTTGTAGGCTTCGACACGTCAAGGCGCAGGCCACCCGCCCGCTTACACCAGTCATGGCGGTCCGTGCTCATGCCGAGGCCCTGCGGCGGAGGACGCCTATTCCGACTGGAACTGTACCCTGCAGTGTCGTAAAGCCCGCCTTACCCATACAATCACACGCCACACACCACTCGGCGGATTCACTCCATGATCGATGGCGAATAGGGCGAAGGACAGGGCTGTTGTAAGGCCCGCCATGCGCATACAGTCACTCGGCGGGCTCACTGCACGACCAATGGTGAATTGCGCGAGGTACAGAGCTGGGATCATGCGCGGGCAAATACCACGGAGCGCAGCGAGTCAACGTCGCTCAATTCAATGACATTTTCAAATTTTTCGTCGGCATTCTGCGCGTCGTTCATGCGGGACTTACGGCAAATCGAAAACAAAAGAGAGCATTCTGGCAGTCACCAGAACGCGGACGGCGCTGAACGACCTGCATTTTCACCGTGCTGTCGTCACACACTGGCTGTTTCAGGAGCGGATCTCATTCTGGTTCGGCACCGGCGGCGCAGGCTTCTGCTGGAGTCGCGCCCTGGCGCTGAAAATGTCGCCGTTCGCCGGGTAGGTCATCCCGCCTCCGCAGCCGGCGTCGCCAGATGCAGTCGGCGGACCTTTGTGATCACGTGGTCGCTTACACCCGCTCTCGGTGTTCATTTACCCGTCCTTCGGGCGTATCCTTATTGGAACGGTCGCCGAAGATTAATGCGGGCAGCCTATGTCCGGTGAAAGCCGACTGATTTATTGAAAGCTGCAAACTCAGCCGGCTTTTGTATTTACTGCTGCCAACCGGCTTTGTTGCATTCAAACGCAGCCTCGTGCACTACGCTGCAGCTACCGCTCCATTAGTGTTTGCAGACGGCAAACTGCAGCGAATATACGGTGTCAGGCCTGAATCCTGTCCGTCGGTGATGTAGCCGCAGAGGCCGTCTGGTGATAGGCCGATGGTGTGGCGGTCATCGCGGTGGGGTGGTGCAGGCGGCAGCAGGCGGGAGCAGGCGCTACCTTGGGCGCCGAAGGTCACCGGTCCGGTCCAGTAATTTGCAGTGGTCCGGCTGAGGCTAGACGGCAAACTACGTGACATGGATCTACCTTTAGGGTGTTTGTGACTCGTTTTTTGTTGGTGGGTCGCGATTGTGCTTCATCGCGCGTGGCAATCATCGTGCCAAAAGACACATGTTCGCGTATCCTGACCGCCCCTGGAGGGACACATGTTCGCGTATCCTGACCGCCGCTGGAGAGACACATGTTCGCGTATCCTGACCGCCGCTGGAGAGACACATGTTCGCGTATCCTGACCGCCTCTGGAGAGCGTCGACATACAGAAAGAACACTGAGCAACAACGATCCTGCTTATTGTTGATTTATTGGATTTGGAGAGCAAAATCCGTTTTCTAACCGAAAGCACCCGATTTCTTAACTAAAAGCCACCTAACCAACAGTGAGTGAAGTTCATACGTGCCCTTATTTGCGACTTGCTACAAGCTCTATAAGTCCAGAAGATATTGCTGCGCTTTGATCAAGTCGTGATAGGGTCGGTGGGACAGCTCATTTGGAACAACGTCGATTCGTTTTGCAGTGTTAAGTCACGTACGCGATGGCATTCGCAAGGCGGTTATCCCATCTCGAAGAGACCTACCACAGACGTCGTCATGGGAGCCCTCTAAGGAACGGCGCTTAAAGATTATCATGTCTTTCGCCTCCGGTGGCGACAACTAACGTAGGCGAAAATTACAGGCGCCGACCAATAACGTCTGTTCTTTGGTTTGCAGCGGAGGCCGCTTCATGCGCGTCGCCGAGAAGAATCGTCTCCCCGATGACGTCACTGTTGGGTACATCGTAGGTACGTATGACGTCATCACATCAAACCTGCGCTCGGCTCTAAAGGAGTCGGAGCTGGTTCCGAATTCAGCAGATGTTGAATCAGGTTATTTGCTTATACGCTATTGCCACCAGAACATCCGCATTGGAATCCACTCTGCAGCTGTCGAGCATTCGTGCGTCACGGCTCAAGCCGCGACGTGCGAGTGCTCGAGACCGTGTGGTGTTGCCCGGAGTCGGCGGCCGAGTCTGAGTTAGTCCGAACCTGTGCGCGCATCAGCCACGTGCTCCTGGAGTCGGAGCTGGAGTCGACTCCGCTGGAGCAAGGTCCAACATAAATTTGATCTCACAAAGGGCCCGATGGGTTTGCAACCAAGATGCGTAGCCCTTGACACTCCCCAAAAATGTAATTGCAGTCGCTTCGTAGTTATGTTTATCGTGTCAAGATACCGGTATCAGAGCCTTGCGCCTCGTTCCTCTCCTGATGCTCCTATGAGCATTGCGCAGTTATTCTGAGATTGATCGTCCTCTCCCGCTCTGACTCACAATTCCGACGGCGGCAAAACAAGATTTTGCTGCTGCGTTTGACGTACGACGCCGCACCACGCCCAAGGGAAGAGACGGCAAGCCGCGCCGCAGGGAGAGATTGCCGTCGTCTTTAATCGAAGCCTGGACGCCGCTGTGCGGTCCCTGTCAGTTCATTCCCCTGCGGTTGTACGCAGGCCATCCATCATGTCATGCTTGAACACTCTCCACAATGCTTGTTTGCGCCGGGCGCCTTGCTTGCCAGTGGGCAATGGCAGTGAAGCAGTGGTGGGCAATGGCAGTGAAGCAATGGTGGGCAATGGCAGTGAGGCGCCGCCTCAGTGTCTGTCTGAGCGTGCTGCTGGTGACGCTGCCGGCGCCGTTGCAGAACACCTGCTGAAGGTGCCGCTGACCGTGGTGGACCTATTTCACTCCCACCTTGAGGAGATGAAGTTCATTCGTAGCGAGGAACTGGGCGAACAGGTATGGATGCCTGGACGGATGCTGAGCGATCCGGTAAGGATGTCTGGATGGACAGCTGAGCGGAGAGGTCAACAGAGCCGTGCAGTGGTGATAAGATCGCCACGTGGTCCAGGGGCTTAATATCGCATTTCGTTAAGGGCCTCGACTTCTCGGGCCGCCGACAAATCGCAGCTGAGCGAACGATCTTACGCCCCGCCCCCTTCTCCTTTTCCCCACTTCCACCTTGTTCTGCCGTATAACATGAGTCCCTACAAAATAGCACGTCATGCTAACGAAAATCCCGCGGAGTGCAGGCCTCCTTGGAGGATCTTTGAAGATGCAATATCTTCAAACTCGTTCCCAATTTCTGACTCCCTTTTGCCACACAGTCCTCAGATACGACAGGAAAACGTGAAGGCATATGAACCTAAACGTACTATTGTAAATATACCGAAGGTACCCACATAAGGAGAGAATGGGCATGTAATACAAGAACGGAGAGAATGGGCACCTAGCTTTAGACTCAATTGCATTTATTTGGTGCATTCAAACTTCATGTTTACCGTACCACAGGTTAGCCAATTCCGTGCTCCTTGTGTTGCTCAACGGATTTGGCGAAACTAGAGCTCTAATTGGAACCTATGGCCACCAAAAATTATTAGCCACTGCACACGTGCCTGGATATCCGTTCTGAAAGCAACGGGGCTTAAACCATGTTAATTATACAAATGCCTATATTTCTAGTGCATTCTATGTCGTGACTTGTATGAAGAACGACGTAACCCCGGAATCCCGGATGATCCGACGAGATTACCCACTGCGCAGGATCCGAATTGGAGCAGACAGGTCTCGCGCTACGTCATCTGACACCTATCATTTCTTGGGAGCCCCGTCGGCTGCACTCTTTCAATGACCTAGCCTTTAATGAGATGGTGCGCTGTACCGGACGTCATTGACTTCTCATGGCAATGGTGCGGTGGTGCGCGTACAATAATCCCGGCTAAACACTCCAGGACCTACAAATCGCGAGCGGTGATATGAACGAGATCATCAGCTCCAACACGCCATGCAAGTGTATTCAGATCGACGGAACACATCTCAGCAAACACAACGAGACGACGACAGTTTAGACACATCCCGTACCAACCAGACAACACATTCCGTCCAAACGACTTCTCACAAACACAATAAAACAACTTCGCAAGCTTTACAAGTGATGTGTGCTGCCAAAAAGGAGACTGCACCTAGCACGGCGTACAGTTTCCCGTCCTCAGGCAAACACATCATCATAATAAAACCATCAAATACACCGTCGAACACCACCATTGCGCATCATCGCACCAGGCCACCCCCGCTTCTTTAGCCACAAAGAAGACGGAGACTGCACAACTTGAAATCAGACTCCTTCCCAGCCGTACGCACAACAGGAGTCTAGGCCGCGCCGCTGCACGCTGCCGTCTACGAAGTGGATAGGTTTCCGCTTCTCCGACCGGAGGACAGAGATGGTGGCCACGCTTTTGCGCCAACCTAGTTGACGCTGCACGTGGAGCTGGCTCTGACAGGGGGAGACGGAGGACGTGGCGGCGCACCACTCAATTATGAATGCCGACAGCGCCTTGTCCCATGTCGAGCCTTGCTCAGGGTGATCGTCCAGATCTTCAAGAATGAACTTCTGCATCTTGCCTAGGAGATCCGACAGGGCAAGATGCACACAGCGGCCGTTGGGTCGGCCACAGGCGGGGGGTGCTACGGACCACCGCGGGCGCCGACAGGTCAGACGGTCTGACGTAACGGGGGATCCACAAAGTCATCGTCATCGCTGTTGTCATCGACTCGGTCCCATGGGTTCTCCGTGCAATACTGAAGGGCTGGCATCTCGGCAGCCTCCCTGGACGGCCGTGCAATACTGAAGGGCTGACGTCTCGGCGGCCTCCCTGGACGGTCCTGGCGTCAGCTCTGTGGCGAGGGTAGCCTCCGCACGCAGCATGGCAAACCATCCAGATGGCGTATCACGTCATCCTGCCAGGAAAAAACAGTCCAATTACCCTTTGAAAATAGGCATTTTCGTTTTAAGAAGGTACGCTGCGTCCTCTCAAAATTGTGTGCAATCTGCAGGACGACTGACTTTACCATGGCTGACTTGGTGTCTGACAACTATAACAGCGCGTCAAACGGTCCTTCTTGTAATCTATCCTGTTATTTCAATTTCAGTGCCCTGAAAAAGTTTGAGTCTCCCATCGTTTCTCAACACGTTTTGACCTATCATAAACACCCACTGCAAGTATTCTTCGCAAAATGTAGTGCGGCTTATTCGGGGCACGCGGACGGCGGAACAACGACTAGAGTACTGATAGCCTGTAACAGATCACCTTGATACCTTATACACGGCACGGGTCTACTGAAGCCGTCGTGTTATCTAGCCGTCGTGTTTCCGGCAGCCCTTTACACGCACAGGATATCCTTTGCTAGGATGCAGGAGCCCGATGTATTACTATGCTGATACTCCTGGGACGTGTGTTTCTAACCCCGTGCTCGGTTGTGGTCATCAAGACCTTTAGCCATCGGTGTCTCGTGTAGCCATCACCTTTCGTACCAGGTATCAGGCATTAGAATGTGGGGTCTGGAATGATTGGTTATATTTGGTATCTATTTGCAGGATCCGTACAGATTTGGACACCTTCTTATTTTGCTGTCTACCAGTCCCAGGTCGCATCTAAGTTGTTAATAGGCACGTGAGATCACAAGCATTCCTTTGAAAGCATATTAAGGCATACTGGAGCCATGAGCATGTTTAACTTAAGTTTTTGTGAACCAAGACCAGAGAACTATTTCATAGCAGCCAGAGATAGGCGATTATTCAAGCACACAGATCAAAGTTATGAAATATAAATATCATCACTGCTTGTGCTCATTAAAACGATCAGAAGACATTCAAGGTGATATGCTCCTTGAAAAATAAAGATGTTGGAAAATAGTCCTGATGTCTTACCTTGTTGCACACTCATTCAACTAGTCATTTGTGAAAGAAAGTAATTTAAGTGTAACAGATGATGTGATCAATGTAAACGCACACTGTAGCAAAGTACACTTGACACTTGACATGTCTGGAGTAAGGGTAGATCATGTGCAGCATAGCAGTGACATCATGAGTACACTTTCAGCATATACCCTTTAAGTCCAAGAGCTCATAGTTAAGCACACAGGTGCCACCAACTCAAGTGGTAAGAGAGCCAATGTTTCAATTAGTTATGATGTTACAAAGGTATTTTCAGGCAGACACATGCCAAAACATCCCTTTACACACCAATGATTGAAAATTCAGTGTGTTTTGGCCCGGTCTGAGTTTTACACCCAAGTACAGGGATCCAAGCACAGATGCCTTGTGGGTGTCCTGTGCAGCAGGTGATTTGTTTGGATGCTGGATGCGGACATTTTGTGTTATGCTGGCCTCAGCTAATAAACCTATGTATCACTTCCTATTACTGAGTTTTGTACACTTCTTTACTAAATTCAGTAGCAAATTGATAAAAACAGTCAATTTTTCATCAAAACAGCAGTATTTTCAGAATAAGGAACGTTACTGCATATTGCAATGTAATCTGCCATATATTATAGGGAAAACTACTGTGTATGAACTCAGAATTTCCATCTAGTTATATACCTTGCCCATGCAAATGCTGTAACACAAAATAACTGTGTAAAACCAGACCCAATCCAGCCAATTACACCCAAAGCTTAACTCTGGGAGCATGATCAACCTGCAGGGCTTGTCACAAGCAGGGGTGGTAAGTCAATGCCAGCACAACCAATACCAAAGAGAGATCAACACAAAAAGTGCATATCCCCGATGCCCCTTCGTAGTGAGATGCGGAAGTCAAACCAAACTAATAGAAATGCGTTTTCAATACGTCGCCTGTGCGCCAGAAATGTGAAATATGCTGAATCGACCGGAATCTGTCAGTACTATTGCCCTCGCTGTTTACACGGGCTGCTTGGAAACGCATGTACGAAAAAATATATGCTAGCAGTGCAGACCCCCACGGTTGCCATCAATAATCGCTGCCGTGGACGCAGCGTGGAAAGCGCGATGAAAGATTTGGAGAGGTGCAAAGGCGCGTACAACGCCAGGCACAAGCATCAGAAACGCCGCTGTTCTGCCATTTCGTTGTCATGTGGTCCTGTTCAGTTCTTCAGTTTTAAGTATCGCCATTTTCAGTCTCCCACGTTTTCCGCGGCGCTTTAAGATGCGAAGTGCCTGGCAGTTATCTGTGCGTCCACTAGTGAACTGCTTCCATTTCAGTCACCACCGTTAGTGCGAAACAGGGACCGTCAGCCGTGACTGAGCAGCCCCGTGCAGCCCTGTTGCAGCTGATTAAACTGCTGTGTCGTTCTAGATATCGCTCAGCTATGCCAACGACGGGGACACGGAGAATGTCATCAACCTGGAGATATTTAACAAGCAGAAGGACCCAACACGGTGAGCACCCAATCACATCATGCTGAGGGAGAATAACTGATGCGAAGAGAAATGGTTTGAGCAGATTATTGCGAAATGGTGCCCTTGGAATAGGTTGTCGCTCCTGCCCGCCCGTATGTGTTTGTTAGGGCCCAACATGATGTAGCCTAGTTTAGCATGTCCTCAATTATGGAATATGAGGGACTGATGTCGGTTTTTCCTCGTGTGCAGGTTCTATTCACTTCACTGCCTGCTTCATCCATCTACGTCATTCTGTCCACGATGACGTCACATCAAGCTTATTATTTAGCAGTAAGGGCTTTCACTGCAGCATAACAATTTGTGCGGAGCTTGTCGAAGGGCAAATATGTGACAAACATGTTGCCACGTGGCGGTGCTGTCTGTGGTACGCTATCCTCCCTTGCGCGACGCGGGGTGAGGTGTGACGGGACAACGTGATATGCCGTGACGACACGACGGAGAATGCCATGCTTTCGAACTGGATGTTGTCTGGTTTTACTTGTGTGCCATGCGTTAATATATGATGATCCCCTTAAAATGTGCGGAGTTGAGATTACTATAGGCGTAACAGCGCTGTTCGCGCGGTGGCAGTATGCAGTTTTGTCGCCGGCAAACGGCTGGTGCGCGCCTTGCCGCCGCATCAGCCGGCAATGCTGTCAAGCCAAGAAGGCGTCGGTGCTCTAACTGTTCCACCTACATTTGGCTGCTAGAAACTCAGGTGACTTGAAACTTTACTTAGAACACGTGTGTGCTCGTAGGTGTCGCGTGTTTTTAGGGCCTCGTAGCAAGTTGTGACGTATCTGTATGCTGAGGATGTGTAACACCAAGGGCACGTGAGAATTAAAACTGTGTTTTCGCTGTGCCGCAGAACTTAATTTCACGATGAGTGGACTGCCCATGATTCGGACAGTTCATTCTAGCCGAACTTGGGCTTTGACTGGATTTCACCCCAGATTAGGAAGGCCCGATCAACTCAACGATGGTCGAATATGTTGTACAGTCGTCTTAAATGCGCATATGGAAAAAGGTCAACTTTGTTTGTATCGTAGCATCACTCGCAGTACTGTTCACAGCATATTTAGGTAATGTCACCGCCATTCGTAAGCATGTTATAAGAAGTGGAACAAGCCACATGTTTCTGTCTGATCGTTGATGCATTTTAATTCAGTTCAGTAGTGATTCTTGTGTAGAAAGATATCAGCCCTTGTCGCTTCGGGATATCACCGCAAAGCCCATACCTTAGCTTCGCAGGTATTTATGTTTGTTTGATCTCGAATACAGTTAGTTCATGTTTTCCCTTAGCTGTTTCCATTTTGCTCTGAGACCAGCGGCTCAGTCGTGGCCAGATGTCGCGCGGATCAGCGGTCCTGACGGCCGGCCGCCGCGCGTGGGACGGCGCTGATGCATACGGCCACACATCGCCTGAGTGTGCACGCAATACATGAACTCCTTGCCAAGAACACGCACACAGCCCATATTCCCCATACACATACATACATTATATATATATATATATATATATATATATATATATATATATATATATTCCTGAGGTATTCAACACACTGTGTGCTTTTTCTACCATCACTCACAAAGCTATGCAGATGTTGTCCTTCATATCCTATAGGATCATACACCCAATGGTTTTTAATGGGCTCCTCAGTTTGGAAAACGAGAGTTGGGCCCGGTGCTCTGGTTTTCGAAACTGAGGCCTGCTGAATTAAGCTGAGTCTTTAATTATTTTTTCGACTTACATGCACATTTTACGGTTAAGCTCACATCTAGGAATCATTTGTGTCACTCGACTCAGATCAAGCTATAATGCCAGGACATATGTGTATGCCAGCCAGACTTGTGTTTGACTCAAGGTGAACCGTAAATGCACTCAGGAGTCAATGATTTAGGTTCAGTTGCAACCTGAGTCAGTTCACAAGGAAAAATGATCCTTTGAGTCATGGGCAAGTCACATTATTCACAAATGTCATGAGCTTGAACATGAGCGGATAATATCTACCAATGTTGTGTTAGTGGCTGAAATTAAAGTGGCGATATACGAAAAGACATTGATGGCCGAATTAAACTGACAATACCCGTAAATACAGCATGCATTTGCAAAATTCATCCATAGACCGGGATATACATATATATATATATATATATATATATATATATATATATATATATATATATATATATATATATACCGCTAGCATGCACATTGTAAAAAAGATGAGCTCACACATCCAGGATGTCAGCATATGACTCAACTCAAACCTGGTTGAAATGTCAAGCATGATATACCAAATATTTGTCAACAACACAATCAACTTGCCAAAATAATGCCAGTTTGCATGATGTGATCATCATAATCAGGTATCCATCTACTTAAGTGTAGGATTTCACAGATAAACAAACATGCTTGCCAGACCCGTGTTCAGCTCAGGCTGAATTGTGAATCTGCTCATGAGTCAATCATATTGGGGTGAGTTACAGGCTGCATCTGCTCACTAGGAAAAATGTTTGTTTGGGTCATACTTGAATCACATTTGTCAAACATTTCATGAGCTGAGTCATGACCTAATTAGTTCCCACAAAATTGTGTCAGTGAGTCATATGGCTGAAGTCAAGTTGGAAGCACAAGGAAATATGGCCGCCTTAGGCAAATTTACATCTTATTTCAGTGTTAAAATTGACATGCAGCACAGCTTAGAAAACTTTTTGCAGCATCAGCACAGAATTATTGTCACAATTTCTAAACAGAAAAACCTAATGCTGTTCATCCTGAAGTTTGCCAAATCTCAGCCAGAAAGCAGAGGAAATATATATATATATATATATATATATATATATATATATATATATATATATTTATCGAAATATAAATATGTATATATATACGAAAACTAAAAATACCAAGTGGTCAAGGTGTTCTACTCCCATCGAACGAAAAGAAATGCACGACGTCCACCTCTCAACAGCCTCATTTCCTCTGTTCAGCCTTGGGTTACCGGGCTGCTCTGTTTGGTATCCATACGTACTAAACTCAGCCACTTTTCGTACGAATCGGTACTAAGCACCGTTCCTCTCGTAGCAAGGATTCGTACTAAATATTCTAGAGGACGTGTTGTCCAATGCGATATTTACGTTTTATTGTACGAAACAGTTGCGCCGCGAACGCAAGACTTCTAATAGAAATGGACAACCGAATGAGTAGTTAGCTATCTTATGTATGTATTTTCTTGGATATGTAATACCACATAGGTATTGGATATCTATGGGTAATTTAGGTTCAGTGTATCCAATGGAGACCGCGGGGGGAAAGAGCCTTCTACGGCGCTTTGTTTCATGCGTCTCTGAACATGGTTACGGGTAGTGTTTCACATTTGTAGGGTTTATAACTGAGCTAGGCGTATTTAATATCATTCAAGATAATTCACAACGCATAGTTGCATGACGCATGTGAAGATTCCGATTCAGGCAACATTGTGCTACAAAGTGACCAAAATGCATAAGTTTTGTACCTGCGCTCCTAGAACCTACCGCTTTTAGTGTGCACACAGGACTGGTACGCAGAATAAATGCATATGTCGAGCACAGAAGTGACATGGGTGGGACACCTGGGTTCTGTAGACACATAATCGAAGCACAACGGGCCGGACGGGTCAAGGCAGCATAGAATAAACAACGTGAGTTTATTTGGAGTTGGCGACAGGCAGGTTGAGCGAATGAATATGGCGCGGACGATAAGATGATCGACCAGGGCAACCGATCGCTGTTATCGCGTAAGACGAACTGCAGTGAACGCATAAGACCGAAGGAAATATGACAAAGATGCGGGTATGCAATTTGAATATGATCATAATAGTTCTCAATATGTTCAGCTCATTTCATTGTTTCGCTAAGTCTTTGATCATGGATGTAGGAGCACACAGTGCGTTTACGGCGAATCCAGTGTGTGGAGCATGCTACAAATGCGCTTAAAACGGAGATACAGTAGTGTAGGCGTTAGGCGACAAACAGCCGGTCGCATATAGCAACACTGAGGCAAATGTCAGAGCATCATGCCATTGTCGGTATTTAGCGGATACGTGGCCAGTAGTCAGCATGGTGGCGGCAAATTCTGCCATTTAATTTTTTTCCGCCATTTCAGGCGGAGGCAGCTTTCTCTGACGCATGTGTCCGTTAAGATAATAGCATACCGTGCATTTGTGTTTCTTCTCATCTTTTCTAATCTCCGTAATATCCTGTCTAGTTGTGAACGGAGTTGCATTACGGAAGATAACAGAACCTGAATTGTGTAACCAGAATTAGAGTGCAAATGTGTGAACTCATGCTGTGTAATGTTCAGAAATTTGTGGTTGATGGTGATATCCCTTGTGCATGTGTTATGTCGTACGCATGTGTAAGTACCTACTTTCGCCGTCTTATACATTATCTTATTGCTGCATTGAATATTGGCAATTATATTTCGTGAGAAGATGATCCTTAGTTTGTTGACAACTGCAACCATGTGAGGCAAGAATGTTTGTTTACTTCCATATTAACTTACTCTTTGTTTCATGTCACACTGAGCCCGCCTCCCAAAACCAACTTCCACGCGACAAGTCTTGATCTGTCTGGGGTCCGGTGGTGGACGACTACGGCGCCAGAGAAACTCAAAGCGGGAAACGTCCCCGTGCGACCAATTATGAATGCCATTAGAACATTTTCATTCACGCGCCGCACTTCACGCGCTTGACAACAGGCCGGCTGGCGCGAATGAAAATGACGCGAACGATCAGCCGATCGGCCAAGGCAACTGATGGCCGTAACCGCATAAGTTAGAGGTCAGTTAACCAGGCTTCGCATAAGGCTAAGGGAAATATAACCACGATACAGATATAAACACACACACACGCACACACACACACACACGCACACACCCACACCCACACACACACGCACGCACGCACACGCACACACACACACACACACACACACACACACACACACACACACACACACACACACACACACACACAGCTATATATATATATATATATATATATATATATATATATATATATATATATATCTATATCTATATCTATATCTATATCTATATCTATATCTATATCTATATCTATATCTATATCTATATCTATATCTATATCCATATCTATATCTATATCTATATCTATATCTAGATATAGATAGATATAGATATAGATATAGATATAGATATAGATATAGATATAGATATAGACATAGATATAGATATAGATATAGATATAGATATAGATATAGATATAGATATAGATATATAGATATAGATATCTATATCTATATCTATATCTATATCTATATCTATATCTATATCTATATCTATATCCATGGATATAGATATAGATATAGATATAGATATAGATATCTATATCTATATCTATATCTATATCTATATCCATATCTATATCTATATCTATATCTATATCTCTCTCTCTCTCTCTCTCGTGTGTGTGTATATATATCTGTGTATATATATACATATATATATATATATATATATATATATATATATATATATATATATCATGGATGTGGCAACAAAAGCTCTAATATGCAGTTTGTTTCATTGTTTTGCTACGTCCTTGGTAATGGAGGTACACCTTGTGCTCGGGGCAAGGGCAGCAGGGAGCACCTTGAACGGTGCTTATTGCAAATGCTCTTGAAACAGGATGAGCGGTGGAGTATGCAATAGGCGTGTAGCAGCGGGCCGTA